CTTTCCCTATAAAATCACAATTGGCAGCAATATAAAAACAAGAGGCAACGTATCCGTAGTCAATGATCTAAAAACACGGGTGGGCTCACGTGACGGTGTTAAAAATACATTTTGACGCTCGCGATCCAACGATGCACGATCTTCAAAGATACATTCACTTCCGTCACTGTACTTTTGCGAGAACGATTCATGTTGCATAGATTCTTAAGAGATATCTTCTCTCTTTTATTTTCCATCCTTTTTTTTATAACTCTCTGCAAAACTTTTTGAGGATAGCGTAAAGATTTTGTATCCTATTGAACGCAGCACGAATGCGTATCATGGGAAAAGTATATCATCGTTATTTCGAAAAAACAAAACCAGAATTTTTTGAAGGAAAGAACATTTTGTGGTAAAATCATTGTATTTGTTAAATTAATTTTATAATTAAGAATAGGCAACTGTATTATAAAAAAGATATCGAAATCAATCTCTCTAGAGATTTCTAGAATATAGATCTTTTGAAACGATATCTCTATTTCTCAGCAATTAAGTATAGCATTTGATCTGAGCTCATATCAACACTTAGACCATCTATTAATAGTTCACTCATTAAAAGTCTATGATTTATTGCTTGTTTATATGCTGGATCGACTGATCGATTTCGGAAAATCCTGAAGTTCAAAAGTTCTTTTCTCCCGTGACTGTTTGGTGAATTATATAAAAATACCAAAGTATTTTTTTATAATATTATATTATTCTACATGTTTTGTAGGTTTCTAAAAAAAAATCTGTCCAATATAAAAAAAAATTTTTTTCATGATTTTCACTACGTTTCTGTTCTTAGTGAGTACGTCAGTTATGGGTCAATATTTCATTCCATTAAAATAAAGAAAAATATTTATTTTTATTTTTATATACGTTCATATAATTCTGTTACTTTGTCATTCACTATGTAATAAATGTCTCCCTTGGTCATTCAATCGAATCGCGAGTTTGAGTTGGATGTTTTTTAGCGGAAGATATAATGCGAAAATAGAACGCGCTTAAACCGGATATCGTGTGAAAATAATTTTTATTGCAGAATTCAACGGTTCTGCAGGTGTAATATACTTTTTATTTTACAAAGTAGTCATGTTAGTGCCGTGCCCACTGAGCAGAATAAATTAAACTCGGGGGGGAAATAAAAATCGGCCTGTGTAGCTTAAGGTAAACTAGAATCTGATGCAATATCGATTCCCCGTGTCGTCAGAACGCACATCGCGTTGCAAAATTCCTCCTTATCATGTGTGGAAAGATTTAATGGAAGAAAGTGGAATGTATACAAATATCGAATCCGAATGAAAGCACATTTTGCACAAAACTTGATTCATTGCAGATAGCAAAGAATTAAGCACAATGTTTAAAAATTGAAATATTTTTATTAGTATCTTTTATAAATTCTTCATTTTATTCGCGCGCGCATGTCATTTCTTCATCAAAATTTTATCACAATTAAGAATTTAAAAAATGTATATAGTTAATTTTTTATTTTAGGTTTATAGAGTTTATAATTTTTTTCGTATAAAATTTATTATATAAAAACATTAAAAGGATTACTAGCAAGATTATAAAGCGACATAATGTAATGTTAATAAATGGAAACATTATATAAGTAGGATAAAATCCATATAAAAGAACTTTATTCATACAGATAACAATGTTATAATAAATTTTATATAAATATAAATCAAGATGGATCATTATAGAATATATTGTAATTATATTCACTTAATCATATAATTATGCATAATAATATATACAATAAGAGAACTTAGCATAACTCTAGCTAGCTGAAACACTACAACTTTTTGCAGGAGTCAAATTAATCAAATTATTTGAATTTTCAGCTAATTCGGTAATACTAATTCTACCACGTTGTTGTACAAACTTGGCAACAGATTGAAGTTCATCCTTCGAAATATAAATAAACTTCCCTCTATCGTCAATTACTCCTGTCAAATTACCGTTTGCCTGCAATTCTTGAATTCTTTCTACCACACTAGCTGTCTTTAAACCAAAATGTGCAGCCAAGTCTTCTAAGACCAGAACTTTATTCTGCTTTATATATATCAGAAATTCTTGCAATAAGTTTTCTTCACACTCTTTGTTTTCCTGTTCGTAACCTTCTTCTTCAATGTTAAAGGCTTCTTTCATTTTTAAATATTCTTCATACTCCTTCTTCTCTTTCTCCTCTCTAGCTTTTTTCTCTGTTTCCTCTAGTCGCAGTTCCTCCGCGCGTTCTTTCTCAGCCTGCTTGTCCTTCTCTTCTTGTAAAAGTTGATCTCGTTTTTTACGCTCTTCTCTATCTCGTTCAGCTGCCTCTCTCTGAAGCTTTTTCTCAGCTTTAGCTGCTAGCTTTGCCCGTTTTTTAGTTCCTACCTTATGATCTGGTAATTCTATTTTGTCATCTGCATCGTCATTATCTTCGTCGACTTGTCTGTTGTCTTCTTCATGTGATTGATAATTAGTATTTCCTTGCATACGATGCCTAACATTTCTTACACCAGCTGCTCTTCTTATCGGCCGACCTTGTACCACAGCATCTTGAGCATTAACGCGTGTTTCTTGGATACCTACAAGATAAAACTGGGTTATTTATTGGTTGACATATAGTAATAATTTTTCTTTAACAAATTCTTGAGAAGTCGTTGACTTAAGTTCATTTGATTTACTTTTTTGTGAACAATGTAAGTCATATCGATTCGACATAAATTAACAATCATTCGACTGACAAACAGAAATTGTTTCAAAATCAGTCTGAAGAGGTTAAATGACAAGAGTATGTATTACGAGAAAAATATGGTTTTATACATAAACATAAAGCAATTTTTGACTCCCAAAGAAAGCTATCGCTAAATGAGACGTACCTTTGGATCTGCGTTGTAGGAAAACGATACATATGACAATTAATACAATGATCGTCGATGCGATAAATATCAACAGATTCACATCCATTTCAGCAGATTACTATTCCAACGATTGAAAATTGAAATTTCATCAATCGGAAAAGACGAATTCTAGATGTTTTTGTCTTGATTAGCCAAATTTCGATTTTTAATCTTCAATTTTTGATTTTTTTCATGCGTAGCTTTTCCGAGACAAACTTGACAGCGCGCCAGCTGATTGTCGGAAGTATCGATAATAAAAGTTTAACAGGTGGCGCCACCACCGGTCTACCAATGTCCGCCCGCATTGTTTTCTCACCAGAAGTGTGACGTGTGTGTTCCGTCTGGTATGCGTACGATCGTTTATTCGTGATTTGATATTTTGTCATCGATATTGTACAGTATTGTACGAAACATGTTAAAACACGGGAGTATCTTCATCATTTTTTTATGCTTTCTTAAGTTTGGGACCGGTTTGTATTTCCACATCGGCGAAACGGAGCGAAAATGTTTCATCGAAGAAATTCCCGATGATACTACAGTCTTAGGTGAAGTTCAATGCTAAAGTATTTCGTTAATATATTTTCAGAAAATAGAATCCTCCGACAAGGATCCCATTTTAACTCGTTACAGCACATGCATAAATATATGTGAATTATATTGTGTAAGATGCAGATGGCATCTCTTCTGATTGCTGAATTATTTTTTAGAGATGTTAAAAATTTTATTTCACATTTTATTTTGTCTTTGCAGTCAATTACAAAGTGGAACTTTATGATCCAAAAAGCGGTGGTTACATGCCGAGTACTCCTGGTATTGGTATGCATGTTCATGTAAGAGATCCTGACGACAAACCTATGGTCTCAAGAGTTTATAGTGCCGGAGGTCGAATTTCCTTTACCTCGCACACACCGGGAGAACATGTTATCTGCTTATACTCGAACAGTACTGCATGGTTCAGTGGATCTCAATTGGTAAAGCATACATGCTGTTTATATTTATCATACTGAACTAAAAAGTAAAAATTGAAAAAGTAAGATGAAAAATAAATTGCAAATTAAATGATGTAATTAAACTATTTTTATTTGCAGAGAGTACATCTGGATATTCAAGTAGGAGAACATGCAATTGATTATGCCAATGTAGCACAAAAGGAAAAGTTATCAGAACTTCAGTTAAGAATACGCCAACTTTTAGATCAAGTTGGACAAATAACCAAAGAACAAAATTATCAGAGGGTATGAGACAAATTGCACAGTTTCTATAAAACAGAGTCTTATATAACATAAAAGAAAATAATATAAATGCATTTATATAAATATATATATTTTCTAGTATCGGGAGGAGCGCTTTAGGCAGACCTCGGAAAGCACTCATCGCCGTGTATTTTGGTGGTCTTTGACTCAAACTGTAGTTGTCCTAATTATGGGTGCATGGCAAATGAAGCATCTGAAGAGTTTCTTTGAAGCAAAGAAACTAGTTTAATTGTTGCAGTAAAAACTGCAACTTTAACAAGCAAAAAATCATTGTTTATTATTTGCAGCTTCAGACATTTTCCATCAACATTTTTTCAGCAGATCACTTGTCAATTTTATGTTTATATGAAATTATTAGTTATCTTCACATTTGATAATTATGTAATATATATATATATGTAATAAAGTCATAAGAATAAAAAAAAATAACTATAATAAAAATATCTTAAATAATAAATAACACACTATAACTGTAATAAGAATATCTTAAATAATACATATTACTTTCCCTTGTCTATGGAATTTTAAAATTATTTTTCTTCCTTTGATGCATTAAAATTCTTGTATTGAATACCTATCAACATTATTTCCCACACATTTAATGCTATATTAAAATTACAATTTTTCATGGACTATATGTATAACAATACATTTTATGGATTATGCAATCAAATTTATTGTATTTATATATATATATATATATATATATATATATATATATAGCGATAAATCCACTTATATACCTGCGAATCGCCGACTTCGGACATGCACGATCCACGCACTCCGTTCCGGTGCATCAGTACTGCACTGCTGCGCATGCGCGCGAGATTTGTCTCTCCAATTCGCAATTCGCAATAGTCGCACGTGTGCGTATGGCGTGGTGTGGCGTTTCATACAAATTGCTAAAGCTGATTTCGGACGCATTTTCGATAAATTCTGGAAAAAAATGCCACAGTGCGGAGTCTGCGGTTGCGCCGATTTCTATATAGCATCTGGTTATTCCTTTTGCACAACATGTCAAACGCAAAACCAAGTAAGTTCGAAAAGAAACACGTGTTTTGTGAAGAAACATGTTACTAATATAACATCTGTTTAGGAAGCCGGAGAAGAGGTGGAGCTAGAACTGCCCATGGATAATAATACGAGATTGCGGAAAACGAAAATCCGTCATATAAAAAGTGACAAAACAGGTTTGCTTTTTTCATTCTAAAAGAATAATTTGCATAACAGATTATAATATATAAAAACAAGCAAATTTCAATCTGTGTAATCTGATATTTCTTTGTATGCAGATGAGGAAGTTGGATGGACATCGTGGGAATTGTATAATTTTGTCTTAATTGGATTGACAAATGAGCTTATTGAACTTGGTGCATCAGCTGACATAAAAATAACGGTGTTACAACTGTGGGCACGATATTTAGGGAAACTAGAAATAGCTTTTATATCTAAAAACAAGAAACTAGCACCAAAACTAGCCAGAAAATATAAGAAAAGGTTGTTTCCAAGTTTATTCTATTTATATAAGCCATTTAGTAATTTATAAACATAAGAGTTTAATCAGAATTTATATTTTTGTTATTTTATATATATATATATTCTGTTCAAATTTTTGAAAGAAGGATTTAAAGAGTCTGCTAGTTTAATGTTATTAAGAATAGCGAATTGTGATGCAATTTTTTTTTATAGGGATGCCGAAATTATATATGGCAAGGTTTTGTCACAAAAGAGAGTTAACAAACGGAGAAAAGTTGAAAGTAATGTAACAGATTCTGCGATTTCTACCTGTTTAAGTGAAGATATTTCCTTCAAAGAATTAAATAGGAATAAAGTATGATTTGACATATATACTTGATTTGTAAAATTTAGTTTTTGAGAATAGATTATAAATATAATGTTTTCTCTACAGAAACTTATGATTACTGCGGATTATGATAGATTTATGCAGTCGCAAATGAGTTCAGAAGGAGATACACTAAGTACATTTAACCAAAGTGTATATAGCATGCAGTCTAGTACACATACACAACACACAAGACAATCTTCTGAAAATATTAGGTAAAAAAAAACACGAATAAGCATACATAAGAATTGAAGTATACAATGTTATGACCGCATTCTCCAATATTCTCTGATATTTTTTTCTATTACAGAATACGGTTTGATTCTTATGCTAAGGACGAAACAAAAAGGATAAAAGAGATGGCAAAGAAAATACCAAGACACAAATGCAAAAAATATAAGCAAAATCATGTAACAACTCAGTACAAAACAGGGCCAGAATTAATTACACCCATGAAATTGTGGGCAATTTTGTATTTGGCTCTAAGGATTCATAATCAGGATATACATTTAGGTGACATGTTAAGGTAGAGTTTGTGGATAATATAGTTGTGTTATGGATAATTATAGATGTATTTATTATTTTGTATATCTTTCAACACATTTTTTTTGCAGATATGGGAGAGAAGGACATTTATCTTATTATAAATTGGATCGATTGATACCTCCTGAAGTGGCTTTAACAAGAAATGATGTAAATTTCTTATCGCGAGCTGCGGACATAACGTATAAGGGAATGAGAAGGATAATTGGAAGAATGGCGAAATTTCTTGGAGTCACGACAATAATTTGTCCCGATTTTTTACCGCTTATCAATCGATATTGCAGTGAATTGAATTTACCAAGTATGTCTATCTAAATATCTTAATTTTAAGTGCGTATAGAAAATATATAAAAGAAAAAACATATTTTTAGGAGGTATATCGTTATACACGGAAAGATTAATAGCTTTATCTCCGCCAAAAATGAAATTTGACAAAAAGTCCTGTATTCCCAATTATGAAGGCCGTGTCATGGCATTTATTATTGTAATATTGAAAACGTTATTGAGTCTAGATGGCATAACGGAATATGAAATCAGTAATGTTGCTGACAAGATTAATAGGTATGTATCAAATTGAGTTTTATAATGATGAAAAGGCAATTTTTTAAACATATTCTTTACACATTATTCTTAAATAAATTTAGGATAGTTTATCAGTTTATTAATAGCTGCTGAATCTTAAGGAATAGTCTAAATGATGAAAATATTTTTAGATTTATTACATTATAAATACATTTTATATACATAAAAAATTGTCATTATATGAATGAATGATGCACATATATATATAAATGGATATAATGGATAAGAGGGGATAAATCATTATAACAGTTGAATATATGTTTATGTAGTAACATGTGTATTGAGAATGTAGTTGATCATAATTATCTTATCAATTATGTATTAAATTTCTAAAAATTTCATGTAAACTTAAAAATTATTTTATGGATATATCCATTGAAATATTTTGACAAACTATTTTAAATTTAGACTAATAATGTGAATTAAGAATAATGCAGTGTCAATGTGAAGATTTTAATACTCCATGTCTATTAGTACATGGTAGTACTGAAAATTTTGATGATGGGCTAATCGTTGAAAAAATGGCAAGTTGTAAAAAAGCAGCATCTGCTGGATATCAAAGTCTGTTAAGTGGCGCAAATTCTATAAAAGCTGTAGAGACTACATTGTGGTGGTTAGAATGTGATGAATTCTTCAATTGTGGTTATGGGTCGGTTTTAAATAATATAGGTATACAAATGTAAATAGTTGTGGCTTCCAATACAGTCAAATATGATACTTACATTGCACTGTGCTTGATTGTTAGGAAATATACAAATGGATGCATGCATAATAGATGGCTTTAAGTTAGAGTGTGGATCTGTGGCAGCAGTGTCAGATATAGAGCATCCAATATCGCTTGCTAGATATGTTCTCGATAATTTTCCCAACTCTATCATAGTAGGGGAAGGTGCAAGAAAATTAGCAGAAAGTGCGAAATTAAATTTGTTATCTAAGGAAAATATGATCGCACCCACAGCATATTTAGCTCGTAAATTGGAAGAAACGGGCAATTGCGATGTTAATCTGGATATTGGAGATCATTGTTATGCAAAACTATTAGAAAGTAATGTGTGCATACAATATCTGAGAGAAAAAATCGTTTTCTAATATTTTCTCTAATTTTATAACAGATGAGTCTGATAAAATTTTCGCGCACATACAGATTATGGAAGCACCGTTGGCTGTATAGCTTATGATGGACATACTATTGCTGCAGGAATTACAAGTGGTGGTTCTAATGGAAAATTAGTGGGCAGTGTAGGCGATTCTTCTATACTGGGTTGCAGCATATATGCTAATAGAAATGTAGGATGTTCATTAACAGGTCATGGAGAATCTATTGCAAAATTTGGCTTATCAAGGATCATCACGAGCGATGCCGAAAAAAGATATTCCCCAGGGAAAGCTTTGAAAAGAAATCTCGATTATACATTAAATAGATATAATTATATTGTCGGTGGCATTGTATTTAAGAAATCTGGTGAATGGAGCGTATATTTTACTTCTAATAGAATGCCCTATGCTGTAATTATGAACGATTGCATGACATTCGGTACATCTTTAGATGACGAAAAGGTGGAAAAATACACCGAATATCGGAAATGTTTTCCATGCGATTGCAAATTCCCTCTTGTAAATAATTCGACTTCGGAATATATCACGCTTTCTTCAATCATTCAAATCTGCTACGCCATCTTCTATCTTGATATAATGTATTTTTCTTTATTTCAGTGCAATTAATGATGAAGGTATTTGTGATACAAAACTATTTAGTTTTCGAGAGTGGCAGAGTTATATTGAATGTAGAAAAGCTGTCTTAGCCAATGTGCACTATCCTACCAAGTTAAAATATAGTCCGCACATACCCGACGTAAATAGTTTATATATCAAATTTTTGGAGACCGTTGATTCCAAAGTAGATAGGGAAGAACCTGAGATAATTACACACAAGCATCTAATACCGCGTGAACTGGTTCATGCAATGAAACAGTGTATCACTGATATAAGCCACTTCGATTTACCAATAAATGAGGTGAACGAGTTTTCTCCTTCGTTAACGGCGCATCACTCGTATCTTCAACAATTGTTGGAACATCCATTATATGATTTACCAAGTATACTCCGAAATGGTTTTTTTTCCACAAAAATTGGATACATGACAAAACCAGAATTGTAAGTATTGTTGTACCACACATATAAAAGTTGTCAGTTATAAAATATTACAAATAAATATAATATATTGTATTTTCCCTTTTTTATTTTAGCATTAGCAAATTGACTTCAAATTACAATATGCAAATAAATTTCATTGATTCAAATTTGCAATTTATCGAAAAGACTGTATCACTTTTTGAGCAAACAAAAATGGCTAGTATAAAAGATTTGCAGAGCAATACAGCAATACAGGACTTTCTGGAAGAAGATATCGAGAAAAAAGAAGATTTCACCGACTATTTACATAAAAAAATGACTTGTCGTCTTAAAATTGATGGAAAAAAAAGACAGTATTATGATAATATTCGGAATTCAGTTATAAAGGATCTTCCATTAGCATCATCAGATGAATTTATATTCAACGAAACTCTGCCGAATGGCAAATTATCAATTCCAGACACTAATGACAATGAAAATGAAGATAATGATGATAATGATACATGTTTAAAAGACATTGTCCCCGAGGAGACGGCATTATTATTATCCAAATTTTGTAAAGAGTACGATCTAAATCTTTCAAGTACAGAAAAAAGAGCTGTATTTAAAAATTTAATCCAGACGAAGAAACAGAAGCGCAAACTTTTTAGAAATGCACATGGTAAATTTGTGAAGCAAAATATCGAAAATCCAAACAAAGATGATTCTTATACAGAAGAATCTGAAATTATTTCAAGGGAAAATTTTGAAATCAAAGATATACTACCAAACATTTCCGATATCTTAGATTTAAGTATCGACGCATCTATTTTTGATGATCTCATGAAAAATGAAATTGAATATGATGTAAATGATCAGTTGGAGAATAGTTGTAAAGAACCAATAATTGATGATACTGTTTTTACATTAGATGACAATGCTCTTAGATTGCTCAGACCATTTAAAGATTATTGGATGTATCATTGCAATTTTAGCCGCGTGAAGACGAAGAGTTTTGAATTATTCGAGAAAATGCTGCCAAGGAGTTTTCGATGGTTACTAAATGAATGCGCGGGTGTCATCGAAATGTCAGCGGAAGATCTTTATGAAGAAGTATGTCTCGTTGAAGCTTATTATGCTTATTTTTCGGAGCAATCCACGTATGCACCGAGTACAAATGCCGAAAACAGCAATAACAAAGCGTATATTAACGCAATTTTGAAAAAATGGTAAAGCAAAGTAACGAAAATTATTATCGATTTAACTGATACAAGTTTAAATCTGTGATATTATAATTATATATCAGTACTAAAGACTATTGATAAAATTTTTCAAGATATATTTAAGGTATAATTAAAAGCCTTTGTACAAATTTTAAGGATGAATACCATATACCAAAAAACAAAAAAAAAAAAAAATTATATGTTCTGAATCCTTCTTCATATAATTTTTGTATTGTTAAAAGAGATTTAAAATATATTAAAATATATTTCATCATTTATAAATAAATTATATTTCATCAATAATTATTCTCTAGATCCACATTACTATATAGATTTTAATTAACGCGGAATAATTTTACAATGTCAACTTTTTTATATCACAACTCATATTTTTTTGTGAAATAAATATAATCAAAGCGGAAAATTAATTTAAAATACACGTCATATATAATTTCTGTCATAATTTTTGATCGATTTTGGGTTCCTTCTCGCACAGACAGGAACTAGTATTCATTATAATCGCAAAAAAAAACAATATTATATCCGTTCTGATCTGACACGCGCCAGTATCAAGAACTGTCACTACTGTCAGCGACTGTTGCATTCGGCGAGGAGCCACATGCGTCTCGCTTTATCATATGGGTATTAAAAATCCGCGAGGGCGATGCTACCAGACGTGACGCAACTGGGCTCGGCTCGGCTCGTCTCGATTCGTCTCGTCTCGATTCGTCTCGTCTCGGCGTATTCGCTCGAAGGGAGCGCGAGTGCTCGTGTCAGTAGTAAACACCAGTTCGCGTGAGACGAATGGTCGGTGTCGCGCAGTCACGTCTTGCACCACCGCTAAAGGAACGTTGTCGCGCGCGTGTTGCGTGCGTGCGTACGTGCATTCCGTATATCGCACGCATCGCTCTCTCGAAAAGCTCGAACACCTGCAATTAGCGCGAATCGGCAGTATAGTGCGTGGCTTGGCACGCACTTCGTGCGATTGAGGAGACACGGTTAGACCCTCGTGCTATCCCGACACGTTTCGGCGACGCCGAATACGTCAAATCGTGCATCCTGAAAGAGAGGAAGAGCCACCCGTGCACGACGAGGACGACGAAGACGACAACGACATAGCTGCGATCGGCACTCGCTATTCTTACGGGTGAGTCTCACCTTTCCGGTAAGTTGCGAAGTGTCGGGTTATTGTACGGCGACTCCGTATTTTAACCCACATTTTAGCACTCTTTCTTTTTTTTTTTTCTCTATTTATACTTACCTATGCCGGGAAGAAGCAGCCTTTCCCGCCAGTTCGTATATTCGTTGTACAAATATTTAATATATAAATTATATTTTATATTATTAAAATATTATTAATTATTTTTAAACAATATTATTAGAAAGAATTTTATTATATGATGACTGTTTAAAGATAGTTATATATTCACTCTGAATAACGAGATTGATATACTGATAAATAAAAAATAAATATATGTCTCTCTCTCTCTCTCTCTCTCTCTCTATATATATATATACAAACACACATTTATTACCTAAAAAATATGTAAAATTATATAATTTGTATTAAAAAAAGATATATATATATATATATAATGTCATATAGAAATTGTTATTTTAAAGATAAAGTGTATTAAGATTTGAGAATTCGCGTAGAGAAATTTGATGGAAGGGGACTTTATATTCCACTTAATTTATATATAATATAATCATAAATTTTCTAAAATTTATAAATTCGCTTTTTGTGTTAACTGTTTAATTTTATAGAGGATAATAATGACTTTATTGACTGTATAATATTCCAATACCATCCTGTAACTAGGGCAGGATGCTAGAGAATTGATTTGGGATTAATTTTAAACTTTCGCGAGTCCGAGCTCAGCGTCAGTTACATAAAAATAGATATTCAAATTTTCTACTAAAAGTATCGAATCAAATAAGATGCGTTTATCTTTCACACGATGAAATGAAAAAAATAAAATGTTACTATGGTGAAAATCCTACACATTAGAATCTTAATAGAATATCTAAAAAATTAAGCGTCTTTACATTATCATAATGATATAACAGTTATATATATTTCGTACTTATACTACATAAATAGAAAAATACATTCCACTTAAAGATGTTTATTAGCAGTTTATCTTCATTTCTGTTCATGTTATGTAATCACCAGTTCTTATTCAATTGAACATTTACTAATTAGCATCACTTTACGAACGTCAACATCGATTAACATCCGCTCACAATTTGTCGTAATTGAAGCTCCTGGATCCCTCACTGATATCACTTTGTGATATCAGAAGCGAAAAATCATACGAATTTTTTTCTCGCGAAATATACGTCGAAAGAAATTGGTTTTTTTTTTTTTATAGTATAGACTGATAAAATATAAAGAGATTTATTTCAATATTTGTGGATTATTGAAAATAAATAATTGTATCATAAGGTCTAATTTTACTTGTAAAAAAAATGTAAAAAAAAATATTGTAAATACATAGTATAAAAAAATGTATTCATACAAATGAATTATACATGCGTTTATTAATGCAGTGTAATAAAAAAACGGAGAGTTTGCGGTATATTTTATCAATTCGTATTATCGAATGCGTGTAGTGACAAACGAAAAAATAATTAATTTTAATGTACATATTTTGTAAGAAAAAAGTTCACGCGATTTCTTGCTTTTGAAGTCATAGTTTAATATGGCTGCACCGCGGAAACCTTAAAGGCACCGACCAGCACTCGAACGATTTTTAGCGAAAGATGCATTTTAGTACTGGAAACTAGACGCGTGTTACTTGTAAACGTCATAATGAACAAATATTTAGAAGAACACAATTTCTCTCAAATGTATTTCTCAAAATTCTTAACTTTACGTCCCATCGTGCTCATGTATCAAAAAAATAAAATATGGATGTCGGACTTTTTGCCGCAGCTCAGGCTTTTTGCCTTGAAACAACACACTGACCGAAATAAATGTACATCTTCTATTTCGGTACGACAGTCAGCATCACTCTGTGTTATAAAACACATAAAAAATATAAATAAAATATATGAATAAAATCAATGAAAAGAATTAATTGATTAAATAAATAAATAGAATTATTGCCTCTACACATGCTTTGTTTCAATAAATAAATAATTCTCTTGTCGACGATTGCACAGATTCACAGCAAACGGTGAAACAAATTGTTAACATGAAACAAATTGCAACTGGTACAACGTAGGTGAATATCGTGTCTGTAACCTACGATCTCTCTCGTGTAAAATTAAAGTGTTATTGGTTTTCGAAGTTTATATCTGTTGCTTTTTCTTTTCGCGTAAATTAGCGATAGATTTGCAGACACGCGTGAAGAAACCAGCGAAAACAGTAATCGTAGAGAGATATAATCGCTTTCATACATAGTCTAGTAGATAAATCGATACTCGTAAATTGTTCATGATATCATGTTTTCCACCTGTGAAGACTTGCGATTCCATTTCTCACGAATCTTAAATTGCTCGAGTAAATGTTTTTTTTTCAAACATTTGCATATTTTATATATATATATATATATGTAAACATTCTAAAATCTGGAAGAAATAAACAGACAAGACGTGAATGAATTAAATTGCAATGATATTAGATATTAAAACTGGAGATTTAAAATTGTTTAGAAGAGCTCCTTGAGCTCTATCAATTGAAATTTCGTGCAAATATTATACCGATTCTACGACATAGAATCACATCACGTATTAACGACAGTGTCTGCGTAATCGTAGAAAATCGTACATATATCGATAGCTTAAGCCCATCCTGCATATTTTCCCGCATGTACGCGCTTACCTTACATTAAAGGTCACACCTGTTTTCGATTCCGAGCTTTAATAATCTAAACACGATATATCCTCCTTATTTATATTGCGCACATGTTCCATGATTGCGCAATGAAGGTGTAAACGATTGTCGTTCGATCAGCAGCCTATGTCGTGAACCCCTTGATGGGTTAACGATCGTGTGGATGCCTAGGCGTGAATATATCATTCTGTGTTGAAAAAGAAAATTTGTCAAAACATTTCAAGCGTTTAAATCGTATCACATTTTTCTTTATTTTCCGAATATATATATACATTTTGTCGATTGCTCTTGATTTTACGCGAAAATTAACGAGGTTAATACGCGATTATTAATTGCATTGTTCAAGGTTGATCGATGCCGTCATTATTGCTCCGAATTTCGTACACGACATGATGTTTGAGCAAAGATAAAAGCGAAAGTATGACGCAATATGCATATCTGGCGTCGACACAGCCGCTGACGATCTTGCATAACGCCGAATGCATCTGCGTATTCTTGGGATTTAAAATATTATTGTGAACGCGCGCCCTTTCTTTGATGATTAATCGTTATTTGCTTATTACTCTCTCGCGAGCAAGGTGTAACTCGCTCTAGGTATCCACACGTCGCGGTAAGATAGCATGCATGCGAATTGAATTCCGAATGTAACCGGTATTCGCCTTGACCTACTCCTTCTCCATGCTTTTGACCGGTAAATATGAGCACGTAAGAGTTTTCGAACGAGTTTTCGCTCCTCGGTACAATTTATATCCGTGAGATGTTTTACGTGGAACAAATCGATATGTCGATATCACTAGTACGTTACACGGTGTAACGCGGATGGTTCATTTGTTTCAACGCCAAATTTTATTTCTCTGAATTTGGAAAAAACGATACGTGCGCGTGATATGAACGCAGTAAGCACTATCATTTATTTCAATGCACCTACTCAGGATCGAGGATTTTGTCAGATTTTTAACATGATTCTATTCGGCAAAAACTGATAATCTCATGTGTTGCTATTATTATGATCGACGATCATAAAGATAGTAAAGACTCTTTATATCGTATAAATAACGTAATATTGTCATATAAAGTCATCAACAGGTGTCTCTATGCGACTGACTGAGAAAGAGGATGCGTCTCTTACCGCGTCTCTTAATAACATAGTTTAACAAAAAATAACCTTTTTTTTTACACAAGGAGACTAGTCACTTACCGTAGTTTTTTAAATGTTGAATATGATTCCAGTTTTTTTTTTTTTTTTTTTTTTTTTTTTTTTTTTTTTTTTTTAATTGCTCTATCATGTTACAATTTTGAGAAATTTGCAATTAAAGTTGCAAGAAAAAGCTATTTTAATGTATTTTGTCTTATTATAGCTACGGTATGCGACGTGTTGTCGACAATAAAAGATGTGGTGATATAGAAATCTTGGAGAAAAATAATTTTTTATATCATTGCCAAAAGTATCGCTTGGTTTTCGTTTTGGAACCATTTCGCATTTGCGTGCTGTAACGTAATGTAATGAATTAGTATTCTTCTCTAAACTTAGCCTGTGGTTTCCTTTCACTAGTTGCGGTATCCGAATACTCGCATGGAATACATGCTAATAATTTTTTTAGCGAAACTTAATTTTGTCCAGAATTTCTCTAAGCTAAATAGATGTATATAGTATTTTCTTTGTGCTACTTCAGAAAATAATGCACATAAATTTCTATGTCTTGTTAGAACCATTATTTCGTGCATCAAATAGATATTTTTAATTAAAAGCGGCCTTCAGCGTTATTATTGGAATTGTTTTGCATATTTGAGCACTCGGTTGAATCTCTTATCGAGTCATAAAATCTGATGTATTTCAAACATTTGCAGATTTTGTAAATATGTACATCTCACGTTTGTCGCGGAAATAGTGCATTTCAAAAGCACGACTTGCAGAGTGTAATAGAATTATTAATTATTTAATCGAGAAAGATCCATCTGTTGCAACTGCTTCTCTCTCTTTCTCTCTATTTCTACAGTTCTATCGGTGATAAATTATTTAATGGAAGTCAATGCACATACGCACGCGCGCGCGCGCGTATATATCTTGTCCAGTTTGCATTCGGGTAACAAGCAATTGCAAAGAACAATTGCGCTGTTTGTCCAGCTATCAATTCGTTATTAATCATTCGCTCTGCTTCGTACTTATCTTAGAAGAAAATCTTGCTAATCTGCTAATTCTGATTTTAATAAATTTGCATACATGTAGATAGGATAAATAAATTAATTCAAAAATTTTTAATTAATGTCAGAAATTGGCTTTAAATCATCTCTCATATGTTAAATCA